TACGGGGTAGGGTAGGGCAATTATGGGGAGTGTGTCTGCTGAAGGATGATATTCTGTCTGGGTCCAGACTACACCGAGGAAGAAGCTACCTGATTTGAGTGGAGAGATCAGTATTGCATATTAGTTACCAACTGCTGCAAGGCCAGCAGAAAGAAAGATGTTTTCAGATAAGTCCCACAAAATGAGTGCCATTGTTGTTTGGGGATACTTTTCTTGGAAGACAGAGTGATGGGATTTTTCTTTTGAAGATATGTTTAGATTCCAGAGGACATTCCCTCCCACAACTGCATTTAATTTAAGATATACGTCAAAATGTGCAGGCCCCACACTAATTCACAGTATTCATTTCAGCCACATCCTCATTAGAAGATATTTTTAAAAAGAGATTTGTCTTCTTTGGGGAGATATATTATATACATACACAGTGAGGTTAATATTTTTCCAGTTTGACTCATTCATTTTACCCAGCAAGATCCTTCACACAGAGTATAAAGAATCCATTTCCAAGTAGGTCCTGGAAGTATAATAATTGTGACAGGAAGATAAATAAGTTGGAGCAGAGAGCCAGAGTACAGTAGCTATGTAACAGAGGTAAGCCTTATTATAACAAACAGCCTTAGGATGGTAGCTGGGTGCACTGGGACCATGATTAGCTAACATGCATGAATAACCTTTACAAACACCCAGCTGTCAAAACAACAACCACCACCTAACTTCTCTACCCCAGATAATTACAGACAATAAGGCAAAGTCTACATTAGACCCAGCAGCTCAGCTTAAGGTACGCAACTCCAGTGACATAAAATGCATTGTGGGAGTCAGCTTACTTTAAGCCGAGCTTGGCAACATCACCTTAGCGGGAGAATAATGGAAACAATGTTCCCTTTGGCTTCCTTTACTCCTGGCAAGAGCCGGGGTACTGGCCACTGGCAGGGGCGCCCTCTGAGTTTGATTTAGCGAGTCTTGACTAGCTTTCCATATGCCTGTCTAGCTGTTAGTAAACACCAGAGTGAAAATATATAAAAATCCCTTTGGCATTATCATGACGGAAACTAACAGATTTGTTGTTCTTAACCAACAGCTGGCATGCAGTTGTTTTTATGTTCTTGACCAATTTTAGGGAGTGTGTTCCAATGGTCATAAATAATTCTGGCTTCAAAGAACAGGAACTTTTTTAGAAAATGGAAACAAGATGGGACATGCCACTAACTCTTTGCTCAGCCCATCTTGAATTCCTGTAGGTTTATGAGAACCCATTCTTTCTAAAAGGGAAAATATTTACACAATTAAACCATGGCATTGGATTAAACAGGCAGACAATGTGCTTTGCCACAATGTCACAGTGACCAAGGCACTCTGTTTCTGCATATTGCCATAATGACTGGAGTGACATGTTTTACTAACCATGCCCTTGAGAAAATAGGCGAAGCAACAATCTGAATCCAATGGGTAAAAATGGCTCCATTGTTAGCATTAATCTCTCAAAGGAAATGATTTATGGGTTTTTTTTAAACATTCAATAGAGTCTTGGTCAGTTAAGAGTGAGGTATTTTTCTTTAAAATTAGACTAAGGATCTGGGCTCTGGAGAGTCTCCCATTAGCTTCTGAGGACTTTGGACTGTGCCCCCAACCCTGTAAGTCTTTACTCAGGCAAATGTCCTCTTGACTTTCTTGGCAGTTCAGCCTGGATAAAGCATAAAAGGATCCGGCCTTAGAATTCTTTACTCTTGACTGATTTCATATGACTAACAATCCCTCGGAGCATCGCCCTTAGGGCTTCAGAAAAAAAAAAAGAGAAGGAAGTTTCTGCTCTAGTTTTAGAGAAATATTCCATGATTTATAGATGCATGGAAAGTGGGGGTAGGAAAATTAGTCCAGAGTTCTGGGATTTATGAGCATTTTGGAAGAGGATTGATAAATTAGAGATGTATGATAATATTTATAGATAGCTTCATAAATCCATAGATATTGGTCTATTTAAGGAAGGTCTGACTAGTCCTAAGATTTACAACAATGCATGGAAATCTCTCATTAGAGTAAGAATGTACCATATAAACTCATCAACAGCTTTGGTAGTGTATAGGAAACTGTTCACTCCTGGGGGAGTTCTGTGTCAATAAATTAAAAATTCTGCATATTTTATCTGACAAAACAGCACAGTATCATCACATCGGTTTCAATTATCGTGGAAATTTATTTCAGAACTACAAATCAGCAAGTATGTCTGTAACAATACAGACAACAGGGCGATTCCCACAGGAGTAGGGAGTTAAAGAAACTCCTACAATGACTCGGTTCCTCTTTTTTGGTTACACTTTTGTTGGTCACCTCAGTTTGTGTCACCCATGCCCATTGGGCACATC